CTGATGAAAGCTGGTTAAAATTAGGAGCTGTCAAGGTAAGCTAAATTTTATTACTATAATTGCCATAGGCTATGTATACTCTATCATGTTTCTCTTCAAATATTAAAAGTTATTCAAAATACTTTTAAGCAAATTTGAAATGAAATCTTAATTAAGGATAAAGGATATTCCTTTCTTTTGATCGAATAAATAAATTTACTTCTATTCCGCTAATTAAAAGAATTAATTTTTAATGTTACCATAATCGAGGTATACAGATGAATTTTATGCTTACTCTGAGATATTACTGTTTTGATTTAACATACGAATACGGAAATCGACTAAGTATACAAACAGGACAATTTTAATGAAGCTTAACTATATAGTTCTTTCCCCGCTACGTTAAAACGTACTATGTGTGCATTGCCACATCCATTATGCATTTTATATTTGATCAATAGTACGTATATAGATGTGTAGATGGACGTAGGTGTGTGTGTGTGTGTGTATATCGGTTGGTAGAGATACCATTTAAGTGGAGTACTGCGTACGCAATAACGCAATAGAGGAGTTGACTTGTTACGGTGACGTTGTTAGTTTTGTCATCGTCGCGCTGCTGTTCGATGATTATTTCGAAGTTAAGTCAATGTATTCTGGCAACGCGTTATTCTAATCTGTGTTGTTACAATCGGTTTGGTGACATAGGTGCACTCAACCGAATATATTTTACCAGGTGAAAGTAAATAATTTGACTATTAAAATATCATGGACATGAAGAAATTACACGAATTTATGGAACTGCTTGGTCGATTGAAGGTAAGTCGCCAAGATTAAGATAAAGAGAGATTTTTCAAGGTAACTACGATAAATATAAGGTTTTACTGCGATAAATATAAATCCGCAGCTTTCGGTTTCGCGAACTGTATACATATACAGAGGTGGACAAGTATTGGCACAGCACGCTGTTCCGTATATAAACGCTTATAACTTTCAAAATAATTGCTGGTATCAAGTTTTTTGTATGCATCTTTATTTACAATGTCTTACTTATTTATATACAAAAGCAAAACTATATACATAAAAAACAAAATACGTGACAAATAAAAGTGTCTATCGCAATCGCTTTATGTCTGGACAAAAGTATTAGCACACTTTCTATAATGACAAGTTAAATTCATATTTTAATACTTTGTTGCATATCCTTTTTGCTTTAACACCTCTTGTAGTCTTTGTGGCATTGAGTGCACTAATATTTTTTGTAAAAGCTTTATGTCTGGACAAAAGTATTAGCACACTTTCTATAATGACAAGTTAAATTCATATTTTAATACTTTGTTGCATATCCTTTTTGCTTTAACACCTCTTGTAGTCTTTGTGGCATTGAGTGCACTAATATTTTTTGTAAAAACATTACTAATTCTATTTCATTATTCAATATACTGTGGTTTCTAATGTTTTTTTTTTTCCAATTTTTATTATAAATTTTCAATTGGGTTTAGGTCCGAGCTTTGGGGAGGTGTCTTTAAGGTATGTGGAGTATTATAAACTATCCATTGACGTACTTTGCACACCATATGAGATACAGTGTTATTTTATTGGAAATAAGAATCCTTTGTCCACCTCTGTATATATATCAAAGGTTTGTCTTTGGCATTCTTGATCAGCTACGATTAGTATGATTTTTTGTAGTTAATGATGTATTCGTTGTTATATTGCATCCAGTACTATCTGTTATACAATGGTTTTGGAAACTTCCAAGTATCTCTATGAAAAATACAATGTTCCATATTTTATATTTACTTTTACTTCAGAATGCAAGTGTAATTTGTTAAATTCCATACAAAGTTATTCACTCCTAAAAATAGATAAATAATCAGTTAACAAATTTAGTGTGTACACCTTTATTTTTACTTTATTCTTACATTTTATCTTATATAAAATTTCCAGCATAATTCTTTGATGAAATGAATATACATTTATGTATAAATGATTTTTTAGATATGCATTTATCATTTCAGCACATGAAAAGGAGAGGATGGGTTGTGAGAAATATCCCTGAACCTGAAACAATTGCTGGTCACATGTACAGAATGGCCATGCTTTCTTTTTTGGTAGACAATGAAGAGAATTTAGATAAAGTCAAGTATGAAATGGTATCATTAACATTGTTCATGTAAAAGATGTAATTATGGAAGTCTTATATTCTTAAACTACTCTCTGTCAACTATAGAATTATGCAGATGGCTTTAATTCATGACCTAGCAGAATGTATTGTGGGAGACATAACACCTCATTGTGGTGTTCCACCTGATGAGAAGCATAGACTAGAGGATGAAGCTATGGAAGATATCTCTAAACTTTTGGGTGATAAAGGACCTGGGATTTTAGAAATGTTTCGCGTAAGAAAAAATAATTTATACTATTGAGGTGGGTGAGGAAACGCCGTTTCACTGTCTTCACCTTACTTTATTAAGATTGATCGTGGTGATGGTAGATATACAATTCGCCGGGAAAATACAATTGTTTTACGCGTATAATTGACCCTGCGGCAGCGGTTCGGCGGGTACGTCTCGACGGTGGGTAGAAGAAAAACTGAACTCGGGTGTAGGTGTACTGGGTTTTTATATTGGTAGGACAGGAAGACAGGAGTAGAGATAGATCAAGATAGAGGTAGAGAAAGCGGTGGAAACGGAAAATTTGTAGAAAGCAGAGCCGTTCGTCCTCGCGCAAATCTGAATGCCACATGTGCGCTTCTTAGGCTACTCGAGGATGAAGGCAAGAATCTTAACCCGGGGAAAGACAAAAGAACGGAAACTAAAAATCTGAAGGAGTTGGAAAAGAGAAAGTTCGCGTGGAAGAATAGAATAAGGTTTGGAAAGGGCTTGTTGGCAGTGACGTACCCGCCACACTATATATACAGGGTGGGGCAAAAACTGTCCACCTAGAATATTTCCGTTATTTATAATAATATGGAAAAATATTATACATAAAACTTGCATGATATGGAGGGGGACATAATGTGATGCAAATCCTTATTACGTGGGTGGAGGGTTTTCGAAGATTTCAAGGTCACCTCCATTTTTTTAAATGGCATGCTATACGTTTTTATTTTTAGTAGAATAGCGGATGTTTAAACGATTTCAATGATCTGTAATACAAAGTTATCAATATCAATCAATAATTAATATTTGATAATAAAGGAGTAAAATAACGAGTCTTACGAGTCTTATCGGACGAATGAGCTAGCCACGAAATTTGTCCACCACGTCTTATTCATCGATTTGAGAAGATCCTCCTGAGCGTAACTGTTATTATATGTACATACATAATATGCACAGCACCATTGATTTCTTCCTTTAGACAACATTAAAAAATATTACGTACCAGGCAAAGCCGACAACGCCACAAGATATAAAACAGAGTCATTGCAGCATGTGCTAGAATCAATCCGGAAGTGATAACAAATGTATGGGCTTTAACAGTACGACAATTACAGTGTTGCGCCGATGCAAACGAACATCACTTCGAACATCTCTTATGATATGAAACTTACAATTAGTAAATAGAATTAGTAAAATAAGTTTTATTTCAAGCGGTGTTCGAACTGTTGTCTGTTACAGTCAATGCAATTGCGTAATCGGATAATGAACGAACGAAAATCTTTTTAAAGTGTTTCCGTAATTATTGCAGTATATGCACGTTGACTGAGTATAATTCCAAATACAAAATAATTTATCTACGAATATCTCAGTAATTTTTACGCAGCGTTTGATACTTTATCGAAATTCTGAAAAAAATATTGGGCATCCCATTTAAGAAACTGAAGGTGATCTTCATATCTCGATAAAAATGTAAGATAGTAACAAACGATCTATTGCCTTATGTGTCCCCCTTGATATCGTGCAACTTTTGAAACATTTTTTCATATAGCAAGTAATTTACGAGTTATTTGAAGTTGTTAAGTTAGATGCCTCACCCTGTATATTATATGTGCATACAAGTAACAATTTTAACTTCCTTGTTGAATTGTATTTTATTTCTTAATGTTTTTTTATTCTTCACTTACAGGAATATGAGAAGCAAGAATCTCCAGAAGCTAAGTATGTCAAAGATCTGGATAGGTTAGATTTAATTATGCAAGCATATGAATATGAAAAAAGGGATAATGCTCTTGGAGAGTTGGAAGAATTCTTTACTGCAACTACTGGAAAAATCAGGCATCCTTTTATTAAAAAAATGGCATCTGAGATCACAGAGACAAGACAAGCGCTATTGTGCGATTCAATTACTGCAAAATAGGGATTCAATTTTTGACAACAAAAAATTAAAAAACACAATTTTTTCATATATCATGTACTAAAGTATAACAAATCGTGTAATTGTAATCGTGAATTTGTTTACGAAATAATGCGTATAAAATTGGAATCAAGGTATCAAATTTTATAATTACGGTTAACCACGTTTTATCATTGCGGTAGCATAGTATTGTGACAGAAATTAACGATTTTGTTGTCAAGTCAGAAACTTTTAGAATCGTTTTAAATGCTGATACTTTTTTATAAGTATCTAAAAATTTTATAATTTATTAAAGTAGAAGTCCATTCAAATATGATATTACGTGATGATACGGAATTTGAGAAATTTATGTTACATAAATTTGAGAGAAATTTATAAAATATTAATTATATGTCGTGGTATACATTTTAAAATGTAATATCATGTAACAAGAGAATTTTTAACAAATAACACGAACAAATAAATAAAGTTTATTTAAACAACAGTATTACAATGTCTTTATTTGGTACGGTATTTTGTTTCAGTTGTGTATTCCGTCGTCCGGTGTGTGTGGGCCTTTTCGTGCCACGACGTTTGGCGCCGCTCTGTGGCAAACTTTGGAAGCTGTTGCCTGACCGTCAGTCACACTATCGTGAATAGTTTCTGCACATCATTACCACGGGGACTACCCTGTATATCAATAAGTAATTGAGATTATTATCGATAAGCTTATCGTGATAAGAAAAATCTTGAATAGCATTGTAAGTGTAAGTACAGAATACAGAAAGAGCCATTTAGTTTTTACCCTTTTAAGGCGTGTATTAAAGAAATATGGAAATAAGGGGTAACAAATTGAAAATCGACTCGTCTGGCGGGGAAGAACAGCGGTTCAAATTCGATCCATCAAAAGAGATTAGTGATTTCAATTATGAAAAATTTCACTCAGCGTGTGCTGAAATTTTTCAGTCCGATGAAATCGAACAAGAGGAATCGAAGCTTCGAGAGATTTTTGATTTATTCGATTCCAACAAAGACGGTGTGCTGACAGGACGAGAAAGAAAAATGTAAGTAAATACTTTATGTAATTTAACTCTTTCACTCTTAACGCTGCCTATAATCGTTATTTCCAAATTCATTAACTAATTAATTAATTATTACATATAAGTTTAAATAAATATTGTTATTACGCAGATTGCATTTCTCTTCTATGCTAGAGAAATTTTATCCATAATATAATGAGTTAAAAACGCGGAGTAACTACAGAACGTATTATACACTTTTGATTCGTAATAAGCAACTCGGTCGGGAACGTCTAGTCACACCTCTATATTCTATTTGAGTCAAGTCCGGTGACTCCTCTCTCTATTCACCTTAACGATATTATCGATACATCGTTAAGTATCAATAAGATATCAACAACATATTGTCGCGGTAGGCGCTACCCAACCTGTGATATGCAAATGGATTTCCCTTGTCCTGACCAACGATACACATATCCTTGAAAATTCGCCCGATCCATTAGGACACCTTCCCTGCATTACAGACCGACGCCAAGATGGCTTTTCCCGATACCGCGATTTTTCGGTTCCTCTTCCTAAATTTCCTTACCCTACTCGCATTCCACAGCATCCATCCCCTCCAGTAGGGATCTACATATATAAATACTGGACCCAAACAAGGGAGGATTAGTTCAAGTTTTAGAATCTAAAAAACAATTAAAGTTTCCATTCAAAGAAATAAAGTACGTTAAAACAATCTCCGGAGTTACTTCGACGACAGTATCAATAATCAATAGTCCCAACTCTATTCTAGCTTTCACGGACCTTTCGCTCGTTCTCACAATCAGATCTCTCACTCGGCAGAGTGAGCTTAAATAAACTTCAAATAAAGAAGAGGGGATAGCCAGCTGCTTATTATGAGCCAGACAGCAATTGCTTATTACGGATCGAGACTGTAATCCTATTGTTTGGATTGGGTGTGTAGCGTTAGTAATTTCCGTGGTCGTATTCTATGCGGTTTAATTGAGCATACACACTACCGCTCAAAAGTATCCGGACACTTCCTTATTATATACGAAATGTAGTTTAAGTTAGTAGAAAAAGTATTTACAATCATTTTATCTTTTGTAATTGTTATTATTATGTATATTAAAGTATCGTAGTACGCTAAAACTTATTTTTATGTACAAATTACATAATAAAAATGCAACAATATAATTCCTGTTTTATAAAGACGAAACCTAATGGAACGATTTCGTTGTTTGAGAAGGTCTGAAGATTTAGTTTATTTCATTTCTATGGTACAGATCGATTTCAGAGAGTTCTCCGATACCTGTTGTTGATAAACCGTCGATAATGTGCTTATGCTCTCTCGATAGGGATAAGAATGGAGCTAACGCTCCCAGGTATAGCTCTCGTGCTCTCCTATCACAATATTATGTAATACGCGTGAAGTGAATTATAACAATTATTGTGGGAAGGCGTCCGATGAACCTCCTGTACTCTACTCTTTGGAAGGCGACCGGCGGATAGTCCAGCCGTTCTCCCCATTCCAGGAGCGACCCAGGTATAGCTCTCGTGCTCTCCTATCACAATATTATGTAATACGCGTGAAGTGAATTATAACAATTATTGTGGGAAGGCGTCCGATGAACCTCCTGTACTCTACTCTTTGGAAGGCGACCGGCGGATAGTCCAGCCGTTCTCCCCATTCCAGGAGCGACCCAGGTATAGCTCTCGTGCTCTCCTATCACAATATTATGTAATACGCGTGAAGTGAATTATAACAATTATTGTGGGAAGGCGTCCGATGAACCTCCTGTACTCTACTCTTTGGAAGGCGACCGGCGGATAGTCCAGCCGTTCTCCCCATTCCAGGAGCGACCCAGGTATAGCTCTCGTGCTCTCCTATCACAATATTATGTAATACGCGTGAAGTGAATTATAACAATTATTGTGGGAAGGCGTCCGATGAACCTCCTGTACTCTACTCTTTGGAAGGCGACCGGCGGATAGTCCAGCCGTTCTCCCCATTCCAGGAGCGACCCAGGTATAGCTCTCGTGCTCTCCTATCACAATATTATGTAATACGCGTGAAGTGAATTATAACAATTATTGTGGGAAGGCGTCCGATGAACCTCCTGTACTCTACTCTTTGGAAGGCGACCTGCGGATAGTCCAGACGTTCTCTCCATTCCAGGAGCGACCCAGGTATAGCTCTCGTGCTCTCCTATCACAATATTATGTAATACGCGTGAAGTGAATTATAACAATTATTGTGGGAAGGCGTCCGATGAACCTCCTGTACTCTACTCTTTGGAAGGCGACCGGCGGATAGTCCAGCCGTTCTCCCCATTCCAGGAGCGACCCAGGTATAGCTCTCGTGCTCTCCTATCACAATATTATGTAATACGCGTGAAGTGAATTATAACAATTATTGTGGGAAGGCGTCCGATGAACCTCCTGTACTCTACTCTTTGGAAGGCGACCGGCGGATAGTCCAGACGTTCTCTCCATTCCAGGAGCGACCCAGGTATAGCTCTGGTGCTCTCCTATCACAATATTATGTAATACGCGTGAAGTGAATTATAACAATTATTGCGGGAAGGCGTCCGATGAGCCTCCTGTACTCTACTCTTTGGAAGGCGACCGGCGGATATTCCAGCCGTTCTCTCCATACCAACAGAAGTACTAAGTAATCCTCTCCGAGCTTCCTCAGGCGTCCGGGTAACTTCCCGGTACTCTCCTCTCTCAGAGGCGACCGGCGGATAGTCCAGCCGTTCTCTCCTCCAGAGAGTGACCCAGGTGTCAGTCCCCGTACTCTCCTGTGTTGTAAGGGCGTCCGAAAGCTAGGCTTCGTACTCTCCCACTCTGAAGGGCGACCGATGGTAATACCTCGTTCTCTCCCAACAGAGTACAGCAAGAATGCCGGCCGCGTCCGCGGCCGTGGTATTTATATTTGACCGTTGCTAATGAAGCGCGGCTAATCAACAAGACGCGTCGCTAAGTATTTTCCCGCGCGAGACCGCGAGACTCCCGCGTAAAACCGCGAGTCTACCGCGGATCGCAAGCTAGTTTCTTCTAGAAGCTTCTATCGCTTCGCGATTATTCGGCTGACGACGAGGATAGAGAGTCGTCCCTCTCACTTCCTCTCGCGAAATGGAATTTTTTGGCGTCTTCGTTGCTAGTTGTTACAATATTAATTTTAGTTACTATTTTAAATGTTAGAAGTAACATTTATGTGTTTCTATTATACAGGGTGTCCTAGTATTGACGGTACAACCGTAGAGGGGGTGATTCTACATGAGAAAATAAGTCGAAAATATGGAATAAATTTTTTTCATTCGAGACTTCGTTTTCGAGAAAATTGGCCAGCATTTTCAACAATTTTTGCATTAATAAAGTAAATCTTGATAATTACATGCTTTATTATTACTCATAAACCTACGACATATGGTCTATATCGAGATCCGTTCATCCACGACATAGTAGGGTGCATGCGTACTCGAAGAAAATTTAAAGTCGATTTTCTCGAAAACGAAGCCTTGAATGAAAAAAATTTATTCCATATTTTCGATTTATTTTCTCATGTAGAATCACCCCCTCCACGGTTGTACCATCAATACTGGGACACCCTGTATATTTCGTAAGTGTCCGGATACTTTTGAGCGATAGTGTACGTAAATTCACAAAATAGCGGAAATGTATTGACGATGTAATTGGTCAGCTTGAATATGTATAGCTTACACATTTGCGCAAGGATACATTTAATTGTGATGTGATGTATCACAACTCTGTAATTAAGTAGGATAAATTATAATATCGGCAGAAAGTAAGAATGCAAGGTGAATCACGTAATTGGCACGGACTAAATTTTTTTGTAGATTGTTCAGTGTATTATTTTAATAAAATTGTTTGGTGGTGATACAGAAATTATTTTGTTAAATAATCAACGTATCTAAATTTATTAATTAAATTTCACGTTTTTAACATTGGGTTATCTTTATCTAAGATAACACACTAATTAGTATAATTGATTAACAGATTTGCCAGCTGGTTAAAACTCAAGCCTGTAAACGCTCTTTTGATTGTGGACGTTCAAAATGATTTTATAGACGGGTCGCTAGCTCTTCGTCGTTGCGATGGCAATCAGGATGGAGCTGATGTGGTGAAGCCAATAAATCGTTTGATAAAGAACGCTTGTTTCGACAAAATTATTTACTCGCAAGATTGGCATTTAGAAAATCATATCAGCTTTTACGAAAATTTACACTTGCGGGAATTACATGCAGATTCGAAGGTGATTGAACTTTGCTATTTAAATCTGAATCTGATAACAGGTTTCAAAATTGTACAGTCTTTTTAATCGTAAATGATCAAAAAATTCATAAAGTGAATTGCATAACATTTTCTTCACATATAGGTAACGAAGGAGAACGCGAAGCCATTCGATACGGTAATTTTCGCGGATCCTTGTGTAGAGCAGATTCTATGGCCCAAGCATTGCGTGATGGACACATGGGGAGCTGAACTGCACAAAGACCTGATTATTGCACCAGGTTCCGAACAGGCATGCACCGTTAATTTTTATGCAGAATAAATAGAAACTCTAATTTTAAGTAGCTTTTTAATTTCACAGGTACGTAAAGGGCAGAACTCGGAAGTGGAAAGCTATTCCGTGTTCTTCGACCAGAACTTCCAAGGGTCGATGGAGTTGCAATCGATTCTGCGTAAATCGGGCGTGAACTGTGTGTATGTGTGCGGCTTGGCTTACGACGTTTGCGTGAAAGCCACCTGCTTAGACGGTTTGCGATTAGGTCACGCGATCGCCGTGATTGATGATTGTTGTCGTGGCGTAGACAACAAAAATAGTGAGATTGCTAAACAATTGATTGCCGAGAACGGTGGCTTGATTACTGATAGTGACAATGTTCTATCAATCGTGAATGGAAAAAAACGGAATATTATCATGAGTCATCAACTTGCGAGGTCAATGACCTTGACCGCGTTCTCTGGAACGTCCACAGACAGTTCTGAATAATATTGCACGATTGTTTGAGAAATGTACAGGCTGTTTGAAGAAACACTTTGGTGTAAAGCATGATGTTTTAATGATTCTAATTTGTTAGATATTGGAGATTGTGTAAATTTCTCTGAACATGTTTTCCTACTTATTTTGAAACGGCCTGTACTGCGAACGTTTCATTTGAATTATTAGAATTTTTCTTTTTAGGCAAATTTTATGATAATTATATACATAGGTTCTAATGGCAATTGTACTTAATGCGCCAGCAGTTAACGTACTTAATCATTGATTGAAATTCTACTGTGTCAGTGTACAGAATTACCTGAAAGAAACCTTTTATACAGGGTCTAATAAATATCTCTTAAGTTTCTAATGTGAAATAAATATACGTATAATAAATACAAAAATGATTACACGTCAACATATGTCAGTCATTGCACCTAATCTTCTCCACTCATCAACATTCGCGCGGTTTTCTCAATCTTGTTCGCGGACTCGTCGTCTACGTTTAATTTGCATGCGTATCTGTGTCTTGCGCCGCAATCATCGCTTTGGTATGTGTACAGCCTGGATGTTGCGTTGAAGGCCAATTTTAAGCACCTGAAAATGCGGATGTATCGACGATACGATAATTAAAATTAAGTAGTAATTTAAATATACATAGACTTCTTTCTTTACCATGAAGTATGCGTACAAGTAGAGAAAATAAAACTATGTATCTTGAGATATGTATGCATCATTGGACAGTAAAACTTTATCACTAAATGGCGCTATCTGGTGTCAAATTACAGACATATTAATTGCAGTCAAATCTTCTATTACTGATGACACCAAATAGTGTCAAATGAACGCGATGTAATATGTTTCTTTTATGAAATAAATATAGAAACTTGTCCTCTGTTAGTTCCAAGTTCATTAAACAAGTCAGTCTACAGAATCTATTTAAAAAACTTACCTGCCATCACCAGGCACAGTTTGCTTGGTGTTCTGATAAACCGGTTTGGCGCTACTTGCCCAGATCCAAAGCAGACCCGGATTTAAACCCCCCGTCCAGAAAGTTTTACCCTTTAACTTGGAATTAGTTTGTAAACTGGCCAGTAGATCTCGTTTCTCGTCGTTCGTATCGAATTCCAGCAAATGACCGCCCATTCCTCGGCAAAGGCTGGCTGAAGACTTCCAATCGAAGTCACGGTTACTGAAGTGGTAGCAATTCTGACCGATTTTGGTGTAATTAGAGGGGCAGGATTCTGAGGAAAAATTCAAATGTGACAAAAATTCAGCTACATTAAGGACGAGGAATACAAAAAATTCACCCTTTTTATTGATGTTTCCAGAAATCACATAGTACAGTAGCTCTTCTGCTCTTCTCAATCGATTCTCTAGGAAGTCCACTCTGTAGACGAGCTTCTCTATGGCGCCTAAGTATAACACACCATAATTTATAATTTTTTGTAACATAGTATAATAATCATTGTATTACTACTTTTATATATAATCGTACCAAGCAAATACAAGTCGGTCTCAGAGACTTCTCGTTTATTCGGCGTTGATATTTTGCTAGATACAGTCAAACTTTTCTCTCCCAACTTCATCACCTTCGACGTTCTCGCCAACTTTGTGTCAGAAACGATCCAATTTTCCAGAATTTCGCTCCATGGTCCTTGAGCTTCAATCATCGAAACGTTGAACGGATTTGTGACAGACACAGAATCCAGGCCGTCTGAGAATACGTATACAATCTTATTAAACGTTACTTTGCGTGATGTTTGTTTAAATTATGTATTCGTTTTCATATACCTGGAATTCCCATACATAATTTCAGGAGCAACAAGTTGAACAAGCAGAGAGATACTTTACGCTTCATGATAAACCTGAAAGCGGAGAATGCATTGAGAAAAACCGAATGACGTTTTTATTTCGGTTGAACCACACTATCTCCAACTTTCCTTAAGAAAGTTCAGGCGGCTGGAGCGTTCGACGCGTCATGCAAATCGCTTCTTCGCTCGGTGCATTCTAATTAACTTTTAATTACCGACAAAACTTTATTTACTTTAGTTTGTAAATATTATTTCATATGTTTATAGCACTTTGAAATGTGCTATACAAATAAAGTGCCCCAAGGAATTTTTTTTAATACACGCTTGTTTTGTATTTTCATTTTAAAAATATCATTAGACTGAATGAGTGTGTATATACTTATTAATTTATTTTGAACTTTAAATAAACAATTTTTGCAATTTGAATATTCTTTTACAAATATCAGTTTTACTACATGAAGCATAATGTACCCGGAGTGATTGTCTATCATATATAGTCAAGGACAGAAATATGTGGACACCCTTCAAAGCAGAATAGCTTTTTTTTTTAAGTTAGATCAAATAGTTTGAGCTTTTTGAATACGTTAGAAGGATTAGTTTACTACATAACGTGTAAAAAAAATTTTGAAAAAACTGCAATTAGTCGGAATCGCGAAGAAAATAGCGGAGGTCACTTTTTACAACTTTTTTATCTGAGCTCGTAATGAAAATTTAAAAAATACGTTTTGTAGATCTACGTCAATTATACACATGCTGACAATTTCATCGAAATCGGTGGATGGAGAAACAAGCGACAGGCATCGAAAGATGTAAGAATCTTTAGATTTATTACAGTTATAGGCCGAAAGTCGTGAAATAGTGCGATTTTCACAATCTTTAACCGTTTGTAACTCATAGCAACGTTAACCGATTTCGATGAAATTTTCAGCATGTGTATAATTGACAAAGATCTGTAAAACGTATGTTTTACATTTTCATTACAAGCCCAGATAAAAAATTTGTAAACAGTGACCTTTACAATTTTCTTCGCCATTTCCACAAATTGCAATTTTTTTCAAAACTTTTTGTACACACCATCCAGTAAACTAATCCTTCTAACTTCTCAAAAAAAAACTCAAGTCGTTTGGCCGAATTTTAAAAAAGTTACTCTATTTTGAAGGGTGTCCACATACATATTTCTGTCCTTGACTGTATACCTTCCTTCTTATATTTTCACTTTGAAAATTTCACTAGATTTAATAGAGATGTATACAGGGTGTCTGTTTTATCTCAATACACCTGAATATTTTTTAAGGAAGTGATGTTAGGAAAAAAATATTTTAACAAAAGTTGTTTGAAACAAGGGGGAAAATTATGTGGCATAAATATTTTTTTTGTACCGCGTATGGTGGGGGAGATTTCAAAATTAGTTTAATTTTTTTTTAATGGAATGCTATTTTTTTTTGGTACATAATATGATAGTGTATGTTAAGACGAGTCCAACGAGGTGCGAACAAAGTCATTTTCTTTGATAAAGCAGACACACGCGACAGTGAGGAAAGTGATGTGGTCCGGATCCCGGTTTTTGCAATTTTACGACCTTCCATGAAAGGAAATGACTTTATAAAATATTTAACTATATAAAATATTTATGCCACGTAATTTTCCCCGTTGTTTCAAACAACTTTTGTTAAAACATTTTTTTCCTAACATCACTTCCTTAAAAAATATTTAGGTGTATTGAGATAAAATAGACACCCTGTATACTTATTAACTCGTTTGGAATTTAAACAATTTTTACAATTTTAATAATGTTAGTAAAAAAATTAATGTTAGCATTCTATAGTTAAAGGAGTCATTGTTTGTTGTATTAATTAAAAAATAATTATAGATTGGAATTGTGTGTGCATTGGAAAAAAATGTAGAATTGTTTCACTTACGTAATATTCGTAAAAGAACGATGTCCTCTCAGTTGTTATCATTCCACTCCTGTTTCCTCCTCGTTGACATACACCTGCTCGATCCGTTTCCGTTCGCGAGCCACGCAAGACTATCGAGAGCCGAGACACGATCGTGTTAGCCTTCTGCGGGACACTTTCTCCATCCTTCTCGGAAAAATGAGTCACTTTCTTCGCTGGATTCGGCTATGTCCCTGATATGTTTTTTGCGTTGGCTTCTTACCAATTCCACTTAATTTTATCGTTTATTTCCACCTCAATGCAACAAGCTGCAATTGTAATGACAGATCATCTTATAAATATCAAAACAATCAACAGTTTCCAAGCTACAAAAAAAATATTTAAACATTCAAGATATCTATTCGATAAAATTACACGATGAAAAATGAAACGAAGAATCTTGAGGACTTCGGACATATTGGAATAATTTATTTTAAAGAGATAGTTGGATGTTGGATTCTGCTTAAACTACGCGAAAAATGTCTCTGTCCTCCAACACTTCCGCTATTTCTGTATACTAAAAGGCAGAATCGCCAGTAACGCGGCATTTCTTAAACACCGTCCCACTGACACGGTTCTCGGCGTGAAACGGATCTTGATCTTCTTCGTAGCGAGCCGCTCGTTATCTAAACTCCATTCACTTCTAATAATTTCTGTCCGTTACTTTTAATTCACTTAAACAATTTTTCATTTAAAGCAGAATCGAAGGAATTGAAATTGTACAAATTCTGTAATCTTTGCAGGTCTTTAATGAAACAACTATGAATGGAGAACGACCTGCATTGTCGTCCAATGCAACTCGTCTACAATTAGTATAGTTCGCTATACATTCTGTATGTACATGTTGTTCAAACTCATTCAGCATCTGGCAATGGTAGAATTTCTCATTGAATAGCAATTGAAAAGATTTTATTTCTTAGTCTTTCGTGCCGTGTGTTATTTAGAAGTACACGGTGAGATTGAGTCGCTCGTTGCCTATTTGGCTGCTCCTGGACCTCGTTTCCGCCGCCACTTCCACGCTGTCGACCGTCTGAAAAATTGAACAAAAGTATTCTAGCTGAGTTATTCTGAAGTTTATTAAAATACTAGATTGGTGCAAATGAAATATCGTTTTCTCAACAGTTAAAATTGCCATGTTGATTTTATATATTAAATTTTGTCGAATTATCAATTTTTATACATATACATCAGTCAGGATGAAGGAATTTGCTGTAGTGCACGTGTATTGAATAGCAAAAAAATTTATAATACAACTGTTTGGACATTACTATCTGACGTGATGGATAATCCGGATGTTCATCCTAATTTTTTTTTTTATAGAAGTTTAAACTTGGAAAAATAGCTGAGAATATAAACTTAACATTTGAAGAAGGCTGTGTAAATGTTAGGACATTTAAAAAGTTCAAGATTGTAGGCTTTTCATTGGAAAATGAGCTAACGGGAAGGTTAGATAGGGCCGTGCCGTCGATGATAACGTTTTAAGAAAAATGATTCAAAACAATCCATGGTAGATAATATAAAATTTTTCCACATCCTTCCCTATTCACTCGACCTTTCCCCAACAGACTACCATTTCTTCAAACACTTGAACAATTTGTTTAACAAATAAAACATTTCGAAATGAAGACACTGCAAAAATAGCATTCAAAGATGAATGATTTTTACATATTTTGAATAATGAAATTAGTTAATTGTTGGAAAAAGTGTACAGAATCGTGTAGAAACTATTTTGATTAAATACATTAGTTTTTAAAGAAACACAATGTATCTAAAGTTTTAATTTAAAAAACGACGTTTCATATGCACCAACGTAATATAAAAATGTTCGTATACTTGGTTATGTAAAAAAATACTGTACCCTGTCATCATCATCCCAGGACAACTTTTTCACCCTTTGTGAAACAGAGCATGCAGGCCAGGCTGGCATCAAGGAGTCCGGAAGGTCCCCAGAATAGTTGGAAGATTCGCAAGAACCGACGTTCAAGTTGGTCTTCGCGCTCAAATCGTTCATGTTCTGAACGAGGCCACCGATATTGGGAATATTGGACGTTGCTGACAGACCTGGCGGATTTGGAGCAGGGGCCACTTTGTGTCTTGCATAGAGAGGCACTTGTCTAGCGGAAGTTATACCTAATTTACGAAAATAAATGATAATTGTATTAATATCAAAATGAGAAAGAAAACCTAACTGTAGCATTATTCGCGTATGTCAGAAAACAAATTTTCGGTTAGTTAATATTCGGCGAAGCCTCGATCGCGTGATCTAGAAAGAAAAATAAAGAAAATAAATTTATACTCTGTATGCGATCAAATAAAACAGACGCATTATAATTTCTTTCCGTTTCGTTCTCATTTCCGCGTTCCATCAAATTTTCTCCTCCCTGCTAATATAGCTTGCGTTACATTAAAAAAAATTTCCACAATTTTTCTAAGCTCTAGAATTCCAGTGATTCCATTTTTCTTATTTCAAAAATTACTTTTAATCGTAGCACTGTAGGAGTTCCTCGTCCCAAAAACAGGATTTTCAACGTCATTGATGTCGTTGTTCGCTTCTTGAGGTTCACCATTATTACTATCATCGGCAATCTCCTGATCAATACGATCCTCTTCCTCTGGATCGTCCCCAGTTTCCATCTCCTCGTCGTTTTCGTCGATACTGTGCGTACCATCGACTCGATTTCCTCTTCGAGGTATCTCCAGGGCGTCTTGCAGCATGTTTGCCCCAAGTACTTGAGGAGTTGGGCTCAGAGCGGATGGGACTGGCGATTTTTCGCGATAGCCTGTC